TTGAGTGCATTAAAGATATGTTTTCTTTCTTGTTTTTTTGGTTTATTTTAAAACCTTTCAAAGTTGAAGTCAAGAAAGAATGAGAGTATTTGGTTTGAAAATGAAAGATTAATACTAAAACAGAAAATCTATTGAGTAACATCAGGTGTTGGTTCCAATTCCAATAAACGTTTGGTGAAGCTTGTTGCAGTTGTATAAATTTTTAATTTAAATGCTTGATTAACTGCAGATTTTAATTTTATGATTTTGTGCATTGATTGTAATTGTCAATGAGTAAAACAGGCAACTAATTCATATCAACGTTTTTCATCATCTTTCGCTAAATCTTCGTTTTTGTCATTGACATTTGTCAACTAACAATATATTCCTTACATATTTCAATTCATTGTTCATCTTGAAATTATTCGTTTTTTGTTAAACAATAAGCAATTTCAAGGCGTCCAACTAATTTTTCTAATTTTAATCCAAGTAGTAGATACAATAATTTTGGTCAATGTTCATTACGCCTTAATAATTAAAATAACTTTAAAATATTTATGAAGTAAACAAATAATTTATATATTTGAATAAAAACATACAAGATCAGGTGATAATTCAATTTCAGTATCACCTCAACTTACACCTTCAATTTTTATTGCATCATCAGTCCAATCTTCACCACTTCTTGCTATTTCATCAATATGAAGATTTGCAGCAAGTTTTGCTGTTCTGTTTGATATTAAACCTGCTTTAATTCTTGTTGACTTCTTGGACATGGTGGTAAAATTAATTTAGCATGTAGATTTGTTTCAAGTAACTAAAAAAATATATTTTATTTTGAATTATGAAATTTAACACGAGATTAATATTGATTAAATGTATGTCTATCCTAATACTTCATATCTAACATATCAATTAGATAAAGAACAAGTAATAACATCTTTGTTGAAATCTCAGTCTACCGACCTATTTCTTTTTTGACATAGAATATGAGAAGTCTTCTTACTTTTTTAAAATCTACATTCAAATGGATATCAATCAAAGCAGGAACACTAAATTAACTATGACATGGTAATTTCTTGTAATCTATTTTCAAAAAAATCTTATCTGTCAATATCAAAAGCAACATCGATAATTATCATAAACTTCTCTATCCAATAGTACGGGAAAATCTTTAGATAAAGGATATGCCAGACATAATTAAACATTCTTAGATATTATTTAGAATCTCAAAAGGATTGATATATTGGCACGAAATTCTATAACTAGGTTTCAGGACTTTCAGCTGAAAATATTAGAAAACTAAAAATAAAATTTTCTATATTGTTTTGTTTTTTTTTCTAAAGACCTTCAGAAGAAGTATTAAGATGAGAATTTTTTTTTGTTGTCAATAATAAATTACTTTTTCATCAAGTGATTCCAGTGTACAAGAAGCGCAACAAATTTAATAATTTTCTCTTAGAAAAAAGAAAAGAACAATCTAAAATCTTACTTTGATTTCATTGTCTAAGAAGTTTAATGCATTCTTCAACATCTCCTAATAGCATTGGAATCTGATCTTGTAAATAAATAAAAGTTAATTTTTCCCAACAATCTTTACCATCTAATTTTGGTCGAACTTCTGTATGAAAACAAAAAAAAACAATATTTTCATTAACTTTTGTTCCATAAATAGGTAAATCAACTGTACAAATAACTCCATGATCACCATTAATAAGGGCATACTTTATCATTTGACCATATTGCTTTTTCTTATACTTGTTAATGAGCACTTTTGTTGAGCATCATATAAAATAATATCATAATTTTCACGAATTAATAAAAGACGTGTACCAACCTAAAAAATTAATGAAAAAATTAAAAAAAAAGAAACAAATTTAAACTTACAATATAATTTTTTTATCAAGAAAAATAAATTGATTTCGAGCAACCAATATAGCATTCAAATCAGACAAATGACACCCTTCAGGTTGACAAGTTGCAATAATTACAATAAATTCATATTTTACATATTAAAAATTGCGAATATATGATAAAAATTTTTCCATGTTATTGCTGATCTATCGAACAAAGAGAAACGAAATCAATGATGAACACATACTTGAATATTGTGTGTTCGTCTGCTTCGTGTGCTCACAAACGAACATGACACAGACAAGAATGAAAAACAGGCCTAGACAATAATGTTTTTTTCTTTTCTTCTCTCGTCCGTAAGTTATGCTTCATGTTGTCATTGATGATCAATGATAATATGACATAATGAGTGTGTACGTCAATTAAGCATTATCCATACACATACATTGAGATACTGTGATTGACTTTATCTCAATGTATGCGTGTATGTTGATAATAGCTTAAGTTTTCTCATCTTTTCATCACTCTCTGACGAGAAAAAAAAAGAAAATTATCGACTTTTTAACGTATAAATATGAATGAATTTCCATGTAAAAATCATTCAATTTATTGAATCAAATTCTAATCTTTTTTTTTATATTTTAGATTGGCTGCAACGATACAAAATTATACAATTCCATTCAAATCAAGACAATAAAAAAATGTAGGTATCAGTTTTTATTTTTTTCTTCTTTTTTGTTTTCTTTATTGGATCATACAGAGGGTGGTAAGTCCTCTTGTGATCTTTTATATTCATGTTTTTCTTTTTCTTTTCTTTGTTGAGATGAGAATAGTTAGGGTGAGTGAGGTACGTTGAGTTTAGGGTTTCGCTTTATAAGAAGGACTTCCGGGTAGTCCCTAAAAGCCTGACCAGAAACTGCACATGATGGGGAATATGAATTTGCGGCAAAATCAGTATCACGAAAAAAACAAACAATTTGTCACAAAATCAATTATGCAGTGGTATAGCGGTACAGTGGTATAAGAAATAATAGGGCTATGACTCTTATACTACTATAGTGGTATAGCGGTATAGTAGTATAGTGGTATAGCGGTATAGTGGTGTAGTGGTGTAGCGGTATAGCGGTATAGTGGTATAGTGGTATACTGGTATAAGAGTCATACCCCTATTATTCCTTGTACCGCTATACCACTATACCACTATAGTGGTATAAGAGTCATGCACCTATTATTCCTTATACCGCTGTACCGCTATACGAGTACCTTATACGAGTATACCACTATACCGCTCTGCCGCTTACACTGCTATACCACTCTATCACTAGTTCATACCGCTATACGAATATATCTGTGTCCGGTTCTATGATTGGATTCTTAAATCATGTATTTCGTTTGTCCATAACATCTATATCTTCGCTGAATTTGGATAGAAATATGTCGATTAATTCGAATTTGCCGC